CACATCACAGCAGCAAAGGGGAAGACAGCACACCAAAACCACGAAGAGATGCTCCGTCCTCCTGCCGTCTCTCCAGAACCCTCTACTGACAAAACTTAACATCATGCCATCTGGCAAAGGGTCACTCCTGTTCTGGTGTTACAGAGGATGGCACCCAGACACAGCTTGAGAGCTGAGAAGCAACACATTCAAGGATCCCTGGCACATCTTGTAAAGGGGGGATGGTAAAAGGTAATGATGGGGTATTAGAACGTACTACAAATTCCACATCTCATTTTCAGTTAATCTCACATGAATACTATGAAATAATTTCTCCCTGGTTGCCGCTTACATACCAACACTACAAAAAAAATAATAAGAAAACTCTTATCAATAGCAAAAACTAAGACTGACAGGTGGAATCTGTGAGGATTTCCTCCTGATTTTAAAATGTATGGAAGCTGAATTGAGAAACATCATTGGAAGCCCAAGCATGGATTTTTTTTCTGAAGAAAAAGCAAATAAGGAATGGGGCCACACTCAAAGAAGAGAGGGAAATGGGAAGTTCTTTCTTCATTCCTTGGCCCAGGTAAAGACCAGAAAACTGGACACTGACCTTCAAGGGTCACAGATCTGCTCTGCATCCATCAGTCCTCATCAGTACTGCCCTCTCTTTACTATTTCAAAACTTCAGGTCAGGGAATATAGCAATTTTGGTCAGGTGGAATGGGAAAAGGGAGAAGGGAGAATTGGCAAATGCCATTGGACCCTGAGACATAAATGTCCCAAAGAGAAAAATGCTAGAGTCCTAAAGAATACCAGAGGCTTGAGGTCATGAGATAAATTTTCAGAATAAGATCTTGGAGCAGTTTTATACAGTGAAATCCTACTGTCATTGTAAAAAATTCCATGAAGCAATGTGCCCTGGGCTCACTGGCAGTCAAGAAAAGGAAAGGTTAAAAATAAAGGCAAATATTTATCAAACAAATGGAAATCAGGGATGGAAATTTTAATCCCAGATGAAGTAGAATACAAAGACAAAAGCATTTCAAGGGGCAAAAGGATTGGCAAGAGGTTTGATCCTAATAAAGACGAAACAGTCATGGGCAGTTATATACCTAATTATTCCACATCAAAGTATAAAAAGCCAGTACTGCTTAAAATACAAGGAAAACGTGAAAGAAGCACACTAGTTTGGAAGGTTACAGTACATTTCCAACCTTTTCTAGAGCAGGTAGAAAGAAAAATCAATAGGAGGGAAAGTGCAAATACTGAAAAGAGATGCATAGTCAGAAGTTTCAACCACTGTCATGAGACCACACCCTGGGAAAGCAGATAATGTTCTTCAGAAGAGTCAACACAGGATCTGGTGGATACACCATTAGTTAGGGTCAGAGAAGTTACAATCAATGTTTCCACTGGGTTCATGTGACTGGAAGAACAATTCTGTCATAGCAGATACCACATGCCCATCAGTGATTCTCTACTATTAGTGAATTCTTCTGGACTTGACCTTGTGAATTTCCAAAGTAGATAATCAGAGTTCTGATTAGCTACATGCAAATGCACTCAAAGGCAAATTAACCTATTAGTGTGTGGGTTATATTTCGAACACACTCTCCCACTGCATTGATCAAAAAGATGATTCCCACTTTCCAAAGTCATCAACACAGTCCTGGATTGGTTGGGGATCTACCTGATACTCTAACTCAGTGGTTCTCAACCTTCTGGCCCTTTAAAACAGTTCCTCATGTTGTGACCCCCAACCACAAAATTATTTTCGTTGCTACTTCAAAACTGTAATTTTGCTACTTTTATGAATCGTAATGTAAATATCTGATATGCAGGATGGTCTTAGGCGACTCCTGTGAAAGGGTCGTTCGACCGCCAAAGGGGTCGCGACCCACAGGTTGAGAACCGCTGCTCTAACTCATGGGAAGTTATGGCATATCATGTAGGGCCTTTCCCTAAAGTGGCTAGAGCTGGAAACAGCTAGAAAGTAAGAATGACTTGAGATCTTATTGAGCACTTATGGCCAAAACCTGGAGCACTAAACTTGGTTTTCATTAAAAGGGTTCATTATCAGTACGCTAAGCCCAAAGGGTCATAAACTGTGTAGCTGTCAAAGCAGAATGGGAAACAAGATGAAGATAGAGTTCAAAGCCAATGGGTCCAAGCCAAGGATCGTGAATGTCACTGGAGAGCCAGACATGGGTTTACTGGCCTCCACTGAGGCTCTGTGGGCCAGTCAGGCTGGTATCAAGATGCATGTGGTAGGACAGACAGGCCATTGGTCATTACTTGTTAAAAGCAAAATGGCTAACACATCTTCTACTGCCAGGCCTCTGTCAACTCTCCCTTGCCCATTTTAGTATTAATGGAATTCAGGTCATAAGGGGTAAGAAGGAGGAAGCCAGGAATCCCTCTCACTGTGCCCAGAATTTGAGGGTTTCATATTATGGTCTATCTACATCTACAATTGTGATTGATACAAAGATGCAGAAAGACTTCTTCTAATCTTTCAGAGTATGGAGGGATACCGATTTTAAATCTGTTCCAAAAGCAAATATATGGGATCTATTCAGTTCCCTGTGTATCAAAATTTACTATATTGCACTGATTTGCTGGCGGAGAAGGAAAAGCCAATTTGCATGGTTCCTGTCAGTCAGATGTGGTTTGGAATTGCTTATGCATTCCAGATACACTCTATGTATACTGGAGAGTCATATCTTGTTTCTGCTGGTTTGCATGCATGCATAGGAAACTTGTTTTTCCCCCAGTGCCAAGTGAAAATAGGTGAAGAACTAGCAGCAGTGCAGCAATAATCTCCGGTAATCAACTTCTTTATCAAAACGTCATAGCTGCAATAGTGAGAATCCCCGTCTCTTGAGTCTACTGAGGCTGTGACTTCTACTTTTCTGGCTTGCTTGTTCAGTTCTCTTCCATGGAGCATTGAGAGATAAAGTCTGTAACTGTCACTCAACACAGTTTCTGATCCCTACTATGTGCCAGGCCTTCTGCTAGGTACTGAGAGATACTGAGCAAAATCCCCACTGCAGGCTGCTCAGAGTTTAGTGGGAACAAACAGCAAGTAAATAGTTACCACCCAGTGTGATAGATGCTTTTGTAGAGTGTGGGTTGTGTCTGAGACCCTCTGGAGGCAGGGAGGGAGTCTGCCAAAACTCCACCAAAGAAGGTGAATCCTGATTGTGAAGCATGAGTTGAAATGGACAGGGACTGGAAGGCATTCAAGAAAGTAGGAACACTATGTGCAAAGACATGAAGCTCATCAAGAACACATGTTTCAAGGACCTGAAAAGATTCTGTATGGCTTGAGGCCAGAGGTAGAGCCAGTGGAGAAAATAATTTGAAAACACATGAGAAAGAGGCAATAATTCTAGTAAGCAATGTTATTTTAATAGTCTACATTCTTGTGTTAATATGTGATGATGTTTGTTCACTAAGAAGACTTAGGAGTTGCAGATAAACTAGCTAATGTTCCAGTGTGCATTACCCTGACTTACTGTTTCTCTCTCTCCAGCACTTGCAATAATACCTGGCACAGAGTTCGCACTTAACAAATGTAAGCCAACACTATTACTGCATGGGGTAGATAGCCTCTAAGGTGGCCCCTAATGATCCATGCCTGATGCAAATCTCTCCCCTTGAGCATGAGCTGGACTTATTGACACATTACTAAGGAATAGATAATACCAGACATAATGGTATTCACTTCCAACATGATATTATAAAAGGACTGTGGCATACTTCTGGACAGTTGCACGTACTCAAATGCTCTTGTTCTCTTTGTCACTTGGATCATTAGTTGCCATGTCATAAGGACACTCAGGTAGCTTATGGAGGAGCCCACACAGCAAGGAGCAGAGCAACGCCTTCGTGAGCATGCCCACTGTCAGCACCTGGGTGAGTGAGCTTGGATGCCAACCTCCTGGGGTCTGCCAACAGCCACAGGAGTGAGCTCGGAAGTGAATTCTCCAGCTCCACCCAAGCCTTGGCCAACAGCTGGATGGAAACCTCATAAGAGACTCTGAGCCAGAGGCACCCAGCTGATGTGCATCGATATTCCTGGCCCACACAAATTGTGATAAGCCACTACATTTTGGTATAATTTGCTACACGACAGAAGATAATTAAGATATTATTCTAGTGACATCTACTCTTAGTCCATAACTATGGTTGGGTTTCTTGTATACCTAGGTTGGGTATGGTGGTATCAGACTTTCTCCTTGGTGATGGAGTATGGCCTGGAAACCAAGCTTTTGTGACTGTGATCCCAATTGCCTAGGGGACCACACTCCTTGAGGGACTGAACCTGTTACCTAGTGTCCCACCCAACTGATCAGACCATTCATAGAATGAGTCCAGCCCAACTACGGCAAAGATTACTGTGTTTGGTGTGCTCCCCCATCAGGGCCAATCTGGGCACACCAACACTACGGATTAGAGTCCCTCCACTACCTTTGGCTAAAGTCCAAGAAAGGTCTATCTATATGATGACAAACACAGATGTCCTCAAAAAGACACATGTAGCTAACATATTCTTGCTTTCCATATGTAACTCTACTTGATTATATCACACGCCTTGGAAACTGTTAGCCTTGCTAAATACACTGTTCAGGTGGGAGCAAGTGAGAAAGCATAGATTGCTTAGGGAACACTGGGTTTTTGGCCACAAATTTTTGGCAGTTTATATAACAAGATTAATTTAAAGGCAGTGGTTTTATACATAAAAAAATATTTTAAGACCTTGTAAAGATGTTAAATATTTACATAAAATATTATGCTCAGTAAAGAAATGAAAAACAAAATATAAAACCCAAATGGGCCTTCTACCAATGGTTCTTTGCTTACTTCTTATGTCTTTTTAGCAGTTCTTAGCCCCTTTTTATAGTTAGTGATTAAGCACCCACTGCATACACAATGCTACGTATGGAACTGATAGCATCCCATCACAGCTACGTGGAAAAGAAAGGAAGAAAGGAAGGAAGAGGACTTTGTACCTCTGTCCCTGATGATTTTGCCCCTCATGCTCTGGGACGCAGTCATTAGGAAGTGAAGGATTCAGGTGGGAGGCTGTCCTGAGAGCCACTGCTGAGATGCCTACGAATGGGGATGAGAAATTCAGCAGCACAGAGGCGGTAAGGTGGGAGAGGACATTCGGGTGAAGGGTCACATTGACAACCAGTGGGTTATGTTGGCATGACAGTTCATAGATTCCTGGAGAGAAATAAGGACATAAATCATATGTTAAGCCATTCAGGTAGCTCAGCGATTTTTAACCGGTGTATTGCAAGAATTTTTAAACCATGCAATACCTGACTATTTAGTCAGAGGCACTGACCTCTTGTCTCTCAGATTATCAAATGAAAAAAAATGACAAAAGCCAACACAGTAGCCATCCAGTGTGGATGAATCTAAATTATACCTTTTTTGGGGGGTCATATTGGCAAAAAAAAAGTATTTTTTTTTGGTGTGCCATGAGATGAAAAAGGTTGAAAATCACTAATGTAGTACCATTTTTTTCATATCTAGTATTCATTTTAACCTCTCAATAGCTGTGTAACATGCGCAAGGTCCCAAACAATATCAGAGGCAGATATGGAGCGGACTCCTGGTCTATGGATTGTCCTCTAGTAGCCCTATTGTCAGACTCACCAAGAGAGTGGTTGTTTCCACTGATATCAGTCAGGTGGACAGTCACTGTGGGCCGCTGACGTTTCCCAGATACCAGGCCATCAGACGTCAAGAAAATAAAAATTGTTGTGGCCACTCCTGGTCTACTGAAACACACCTAGGCATAAGCACAGATATGTGTGAGCCATTATCTCCATTGGTCTATCAAAACACATTAACTAAGAGCTCCCTTCTCCCTTACAAATGAGAAGAATGTGGAGTAGGCACACAAAGATGTCCAAAGTCACAGCAAAAGTTAAATAAAATTAGATGGAAAGAAGATAACTGTCAGCTACTGAGCTTCCCATCTTTTTCTGGGACTTCTGACCTCAACTGTTTCTTTTTTGCTTCAACCAGTCTTTCTTTAAATGCCTCAGAAACATCATTCAAAGAGACAATAAGGCACCACAGGACCAGCCAATACCTCCTTGTTTCCACAGTGAGAGTGGTGGACAAAGACGGTCACTGAGCTAATGTTTTGCTCTGAACCAGCCCAGCTAATTATTCTTCCCCACCTCCCCATCTTCTCCTAACATTTTTATCAGAACCTCCCACTTAGTACATGAACTCTGACATGGGGGAGAGGTTATTGCAGAGTGTGTTGTGTGTGATATTAGAAGCTGCCGAACTGTTTATTCTTATGTGGGTCTCCTGGTGCGCCAAGTATGTATGTCCTATCCTTGGCTGGAAAATAAGCCAACACTGAGGCACAGAAAAACCTAGTTATTTATAAAGAATATGCCACCCATGGTTAGGCTGATTAACAATCAAATAGTCTTTCAGAGTGAACTATGAAAGTCTTATCCCTGGAAATCCTTTAATATGAAAGAAAACATCATAGAATTGGGGATGACCTGGAGAGCTGCTTTTTTACACTGAAATCATTTGAGGTGGTAATTTTAATTTCCTATAGCTTAACATTATTCTTTTTTTCCTGATTTTCACAGGGGAGCTTTTATTTTTCTATATAGGACTTTATTTATTTACCCTTTGTATTACATACATATTCCAGATATTTGTTTACTGATTGCAGAATGATTTTAGTCTATAGAAGGACAATTAAATGCCCTTTTATATAGCAAATAAAGTAGGGACATACTAGGAAACCATAAGTGGATTTGACTCTCTTTTTCTTCTTTTTTTATTATTGAATTTATTGGAGTGACAATGGTTAATAAAATTACATAGATTTCAGTGGTACAACATTATAGTACATCATCTATATATTCTATGGTATGTTCAACATTGCTCTTAATTTCTGTTGAGAAGGAATTCCCACCTTCCCTGGTGTTATCTGGGAGTTACATTGTTAGAACCTGTGTACATTTCTAGATTTTTTTTCAGGTTCTGAGGGTGATGAAGCCCAGGAAAACTGTCCTTGGAGTAAAAGTGAGGTCCATGTGGAATGGCAGGGACCTCCTCTCAAAAGTAAATCATGTTTTCCATTTTCACGAGAATTCTTCCTTGTCCGCAGACTAAATTTCCCCAAGTCTTGGTGGTGTGTTTATAGTGTTCATTTGCACTCCTGGCTTAATTAGGGGGATTTTATGATTTGCAGTGGTCGATGGAGCACAAGTCTCCCTTCTTCCTCTCCTCCTTTGAGGGAAAGACCAGCAACACTCTCTTTTTACAGTGTCTTTCCCCCCTTTTTCATTTCCCCTCTTTGACGTAATAAATATTCCTTTACAACTTAAGAAATATCCAGACCCATAGATTATGGCTTGCAATATGAGGTCCTTTGTCCCTGGCTGGATGAGGGCTAGACATGAAACACACGGTAAGGTAACCAACAGCCTCGCTTCTCGCAAAGCCCTCAACTCTAGCAGCAGAGGACATCAAAGTCCCCTGGGAACGCCCACAACCTCTTCCTTTTCACACACCACAAAAGAGACCAAGTGCTGGAAGAAAGTTCTGGGTTGTTTCCTGAACCAGGAACCGACAGAGTCTAAACATGGACCTGGTGGCTTTACCCCAAAGGCCTCAGACTTGAAGAGTGGGGTGGCTTCAACAAGGAACAAGAAGCCCAGTCTTCCCACCTTCAGTTAGGGTCCCACGCAGACACCACCCACATGAAACTAATTGGGGTAGGTCTGATGGTGTGGATTTCTCTGTCCTGAGGGCCTGTTCCCAAAACCTCCAACTCATTTTACATCTTCCAGAAATGTGTCTCCTTGCTCTAAGGGTCTTTGAATACCAATCACTTTGAACCCTGGAGCCGGCTCCTGGTGGCAGTGTCCCTCTCTGAGCCTCAATTTGTAGAATGTGGCTGTGCCAGGATTTCCAGGCCCTGGCTCTAGCAGAAAAAACACAGGTGAGACTTACAAAGGAGACAGAGGCAGCAGAAAGCAGGGATAAACAAAGCAAAGAAAGGCAAGGATCTGATAAAGGTATAAGATGCCCACTCGGGTATTTCTTCTCAGAGCGACACAGAAGAGGGAACTAAATTCCATTCTCATCTAAACAACAAATAGGCCCCATAACAGCAGCAAGTAAATACAAACTCTCTCATACAGCTGTTGGGCCCTCAAAATCAGAGGTTAGTTTGAATCTGCACACATGTGCCTAATCAATCTGAGTGGGATAAAATGGACCAATTATGTTCACCATTCTGGAGAGGGGGCTGGCCAGGCAGACCCCTGGGTTTGACTCTGAGCTCCCGCTTAACTCTCTGGGTAAATCTGAGCAACCCATCATCTCTCCTCTCTAAGCCTAAGGTCCCTCTTCCCCACACCTGAGAAACAGACATACTACCAATCTCACGAGGCTACTATGAGGATGAGATGAAATCATCTGAAAACACATAGAACAATGCTTATCATCTAATAAGGGCTCAATGTTCAATAATTCTTATTTCAAAAAATATTTCTATTTTGTTTATACTTCAGGAAGACAAGGATAAAAAAATAAAATTTTTTAATGAAACATATATCCGCACATTTAGTATCTAGAGAATTTTGATTTTCTGAACTGTATAGACTATTTTAAATTGGTCCTTATAGAAATGTGAGTTGCTACTCTAGGTTCTACTTCCATAGAAACTGGCAATATTTGAGGCTCTTGGTTTGGAATGTATCTCTATAAGTGGAATCTATGAAAAATACATTATATATACATATATAACTCTTTTATGAGACTTTTCAGGAAATTCAGTTCAATATACAGTTATTAAAAACCTACTTTTGCCTGGCCTGTGTGCCTCAGTGGTTGAGTATAGACCTATGAACCGGGAGGTCATGGTTCAATTCCAGGTTGGGGCACATGCCCGGGTTGCAGAATCCATCCCCAATAGTGGGCATGCAGGATGCAGCTGGTCAGTGATTCTCTCTTATTATTGATGTTTTTATCTCTCTCTCTCTCTCTCTCTCTCTCTCTCTCTCCCTTCCTCTCTGAAATATATATATATATAACATACTTGTGTTATACATATAAACTTCTAGAATTTACAGTATAATTAGAATATTAAATGTGTATTCCTTATTCAAACACAGAATATTTTTAAAAGTTATCTTTCCATAGCCAAGTCACAGCTGTTTTAATACATATAATAGTCCAAACTATATTCACTTCATAAAAAATAAATAATGAATTTTGTGTCCCTAGATATGAAAGATAGTCAGTGACTGAAGCAGAAAATTTGGCCACATGAAGCTTTTACTAATTCTACCCCCATGCCACCTTTGGCATTACAAGTATGACACCCTTCTAACTGCCACACAAAGTGCATTGTCTGAATAGCTGGCCCTACCCCCTTCAGGACAAAGCACCTCAGATGCACCTTTAGGGAGATTACTCAGATCTGAAATGAGCATCTGGCATGCCCCAAGAGAAAAAAACAGCAAGAGGGCAAGAGAATTGTAGCTTTATCTATAAGGTTTTATTATTTGTCTTAACAAGGAGACTAAATTCATGTCATACATGGGCGACATAAAATGAATTTGAACATGGCTCTTATGAAGAAGAAAAACTATAGGTGGACATCAAAAAGGAGGTAAGCTCTTTTAGAAAAATGAGTGATTATCGGGACTGAGGAATGTTCTAAAGATAGAGGGATTGTCAATGAAATTAGCTCAGTGAATCCATTGCAAAATACTTTGAAACAGAGAAAACATAAATTGGAAGGATGGATGGATGGATGGATGGATGGATGGACGGACGGACGGACGGATAGTTATGGACAGAAGTAGAAAACCAGTCCCACACCCTCAGTTGCTTTTTCATCCAAAGCTTGCATATTAACCACCGGATCTAACTTCTAGCCACTGAGGGCAAAGCTGAAAGAATGTTTCCCTAGCACAGAACTGTTTGGGCTTAAGAAACCCTCTTCAATGTGTCTGCTGGGTAGAAACAATATACTCCCAAGCCAAGCATTTCAACTTCCAGGTCATCCTCCGTGTTGGTCACTGGAGAGTAGACCCTGAAACTATACCACAAACTTGAAAAGAATCTTCTTTGAGATTTTAGGATGCTTTTGGTTAGTTACAGGGTTGTTATTATTTTTCCTGTGCCTTTTAATCTTCATTCATCTATGGCACTTCCTGACCCAGAGAGAATGGGAGGCCCTTGAGTAGGATGAGGTGGGCAGACATCCAATCTGGTTGTGTCGCACTTGACAGTTTGCCAAGTGTGATCCCATGCTGTGCCAGAGCCTCCATCAGGCTTGTTGGGTTTCTACTCCTATTTGAGATTTTTGTTCTATAATATCCCCAGAATATAAAGGTTATATTATAGACATGGAAAAAGCAGGATTCTTGTAGCTTAAGTGACTTCCTCTAGCTAAATGCTAGTGAGGCAGGAATTTAGGTTTCCAACTTTGTTCTGTATTCTTTTGACTGCCCAATGGTTGTTAATTTGGGGTGCGCAGGAAATCACAGATTCCTTAGAAAATGTGTTGACATTTGTGCCCCCTCTACTTCCCAAAATGAAGTCACACAAACACGTAGGCCTAAAAGTTTCATTCAATTTCAGGGAGCTAAGAGAACCCTTTAAAAGCCATTAGCAGTCCAATTGGGAGGGAAGTTGTCAAAAGAAATTAAGAACTCTTGCACTATTAGTTTACTCATATGTCTTTTTGTAGATGAAAAATTATCAAATATTGGAAATTTTATATGGATCCCCCTA